TGAGTAGTATCAAATGAAGATCGATAACCCTGATTCAAATGACAATAATCAGACGCACAGGCAATTTCATGGGAGTCTTGTCGAATAAACTGTAGTCTGTAAACTTACAGTTCACTTTCAACAGAAAACAGCAGAGAATTGAACCCAAATGAATCTTGAGCTTCCTGATTCAAGGTTTAGATCCAATGACAACGGCTCAAAATCAAAAATAGTTTTAAAAGTTAGTTTTGCAAATAGCCTTGTCGGGTAGCATATAAATTAACTAGGAAATCAAGTCGTTTTACTATGTGGACAGAGTAGTGGACAGAGTAGTGGACAGAGTAGTGGACAATAGAGACACCATTGGCCAAATTATAGCTGGAACTGTTTCTCATATTAATTTGTATCTTACCTATGATTTCAACGAAATCATTTTCAGATAAGCAGTATCAGGATGGCGAATAGTCGAGAATTTCATGCAATGGAAATGCCAGCTGTGAACGGAATTGGAACGGCAAGGTCGGTAGCTAAGCTTTTCTCGCTGGTTATGTCAGGTCGAATCATAAGCAAGCAGTTGTTAAAGCGTCTCCTTAAGCCTGTGGATATGAAAATTTACGATGAAGTGTTTGGGTTCAAGGTGATTAGCGGCTACGGCTTTTTATATACAATAAATCCGATGGTAAGAGTCCTCCAAAAATTAAGCATATCGCTTATAAAGCGAAATCTTCTAGGGTCAGTTGTTGCTGAACCACGCCGGATTTGGAGGCCAGGATTTAAAAGTTGACATTTTCAACAACCTCTCGTTCGCTTACCTCACCAACAAGGTGAAACTGGATATTGGAGAACGAAGTCCAATTTTTCGGCGTTTGCAAACTGCAGTGTACGAATGTTTTCACCAAGAGAAGAAGAAATTATAGTTGAATAACATTATCATTGAAAGTAGTCTGGCAACTGAAATACCCTCAGTTTAAACTATCGCAAGTGACTGTAATATTGGGAATGCACGTGAAATCGCCCGTACACGATTTTATGTTTTAAAAATAATATTTGACGGAACAAACGGCTTAAAAAATTGTTGAAAATCTGCAAAAAATCTAAAAATGGAATAGTAAGACGAATTCATGTACAGCCGATTACATTTTTGATCCATGGCAATTTTAGCTAACATTTTAAGTATTTTATTACTCAGTTAATATGTCTGTCTGTCCGTCCATCTATTTGCCTGTCTGTCTGTCTCGATAGACGTTTATCACTTCGGATCACGGAGACAAAGCGAGAGATAATGTCTCAGTATTCCTGTTCCTTGGCCGATTTTTGAAAGAAGCACGTCGATATACTAGCTCCAGGTTATTCTTGATCATCCTCCGGGATAATAGAGACGGTTCGGTTGAGGTAGCAGCTGTTTCGTTTTTCTTTATGGAAACATTCGTAAGATATGCCTAAACCATCGCATCTGTAAGGCTGTCTCGGATGTCTGAGCTACGGACCGGGCAAAACCGAGCCGAGTGGGTCCAGCGATTCGTTTCATAAAGCTCGTCTCAGCTGCTCATACCCGATGTCGAAGTTTTCCAGTCATGGCCCACGATTAGTGATCACAGGTGAGCATGGGGATGAAGATAGACTTGAACACAGATAGATCAGTCCCTAGACTCAGCTGTATTTTGGTTACGACTGTTCGGGCTAGTTCCTGCAGAAGCCGCTTGCTATTCAAATTCGCTGATTGATTTCTTCCTCAAATTTTCTGTCACAAGTCAACATGATCCTGAGATATGTCAAATTCCTCGCCTATTCCGCTGATTTTCTGTCTACTCACAGAGAGTGGCTGGCAGGAAAACGAGAACGCGCTGGACGATTCGTTTTGGACACGTTCTGATGCATGCAACCGAGTCACGCTCGGCTGCGAACCATTCCAGCAATTGGTGGACACCAGTTTCATAAGATGCCAGCAAAATAAGGTTGCCTGCAAACAGCAGTCTACTCGTCTTTACGTTTCCTGTGCTGGTACGCCTGTTGTCCCCGCTGCGCCTGATCATCCTACCAATGTATAGCGCAAACATAAGATGAAACAGGAAGCAGCAGCCTCAGTGATCAATCAATCAAGTTTCTCAACCAGCTTGGCGCACGGGCTGATCATATGCTTTCTCTAGGTCAACAAAGCACATATATACCGGATAGACGAACTCCCACGACCTCTCAACAATCTGGCGTAAGGCGAAGGTCTTACCATTGACGTTTCGGCTTGACCTGAAGCCATACTGTTCTTCCTGTATTTTGGAGTCAGTTACTCTGTGGCATTTGTTTTGTAACACCTTAACGAAGATTTCTACCAAAAAGCCTAACACTGTGATTCCCCAATTATTGAAGCGTTTCCCAATTTTTGAACAGCGGTACCACAGCGCCTGTTTTCCAGTCTGCTTCTATTTTTTTCTTAGCCACCGCAGTTTCACTGACACTTATTGGCTACGACATGCCATGTTTATCTAAAGCTGTGAGCAATTCAAGGCAGATTTCATCGATTCAGCATCCTTTCCACTTTCAGGCTTTCTACAGCTTGTGTAATTTCAGCTACAGAGATAGCAATATCCGTTCGCTGCTGCTCTACAGGCGAGTCTTCCCGAGGTTGCTCAGAGTTAGGGAGTTCCTCAAAGTACTCTCTCCATCTCCATGTCATCATCATTGGTAAGAGGGTGTTCAGACCTGTCCTTAAAGACTTTGAGACTGCCCTTCTTTTCACCTTGGAGGGGGCGAATGGTCTGCCAGAATAGCTTGGTGGCCGTCTGTATAGTGCATCACCTCATCGGACTTTTCCCAAAGATCAGCTTTCGCTTTGGCCCCTGCTTTCATTGCCACCTTGCGAGCTTCGAGTTTAAGGATCTTCGAGTTTAAGGCTTCAAAGCCACCTTTTTAATGTAACCTCTGACTAGCTGTCTGCATGCCGAGCCTATGCTATCCACCAGGATGTACGGTCCTGACTGTCAGGTTTTCTGCTGAAGGTCAGTCTGACATAGATTCCGAAAATTTCGAGGCAATCCGACGCGGTCATTGAAACTGGCTGAATGGCGCGGTTGATAGTCAGCCTGACTAATAGAGATGCTTTTGCACTGTCGACGAATACTCAATTTTTACTGCAGGTTAGAGCAATTATAACAGGTAAAGAAGCCTAAGTATTTTTGGGCCATATTTTGGAACGATCGCGGCCAAGACCTACAAAGACATTCAAATAGACATACAAATCGACCAGAAGAACGCAGTAATGTTGTGCATGATGGAGAAGGAATTGCACTAAGAAGATATCTGTATTGTGGAATGCGTGCGGCTTTGCCTCAGTTATGATCATAATGCTGCTTATTGACTAGAAAAGTGCTTCTTCCTATATAAGGAACCGGAATGAGATTTATTCGAAGGTTTCTTTGTGACAGATTCGACAAGGTTCGAACCAGAATAATCCGAGATGAGTCCGCTTATAAATATTTGATTGTCCAGATCGAAACATCACAAATAGCTGTGGTTTGGACACGTGATCATAAGGGTCATAAGGCATCAGCGGAACCTCGCAAGGGAGATCCTTCGCAAGGTAACATATTGAACAGCCCATGAATAGACCGCTGGCTAATGACTCGATCTTATACAAGATTTGAAACTGATCCACCTTGCAATGCGCCTTATATAATTTAACCGAGTGGAGAAGGACCGAAACTATTGAAGTGGTTTCTTAGGCTAGTACCCGTGGATCGGAGAGCTGTAGCTACCAATAAACATACACGAATGCATTAATTCTTGTGTACGTCGTTTCCGACGTACCCGAACATTCTAAATAGTTACATCTGATTTCCCTCTCAATCCAGAAGTTAATTAGCACATATGAAAATCAGCATGCATAAAATTGTGTTTATAATGACAACACTGTGGCAGTGATTCGTGAGACGCAGAAAAGTGGGTAATTGGCAGGTAATCGATGACCGATTGCGGTTTTGAGAAGCCATGCATTGTTGTGATGAATGACACATCGAGTGCTGACGATGTCACGTATGCGGGCGAAACGAAAAAGCACAGAAAGTAGGTTGAGTTTTTGAAGCGCGTGCACGCGATGTATAAATTGTCGCTTATAGCGCAACAATGGTTTGTTGAAATTCTGACTGGCCGCTGCAGTGGCACTTCTTCGTCTGTTGTTTCAAATGATGTCCAGAACGATGACGTGCCACCGTGTTTTCGGAACTCTCTTCTTCGGATGGCTGCTTCAGGTTAGTAGACGAAGACCGGTTTGCGCTGTCGTTCTCACAGCACCAGATCACATCTGGCCGTCGTTCTGTGCCAAATCCACCATGGAAACGTACACACAAACATCTGAGCTTTTCTGAAACGCAGCTTCTGCATCGTGATTCAGAAATCAGCCAATTCTTTCAGCAGTTATTCTTCATAATCTGTCCTCCCTAATGAAAATGGCTGTGCTGGATTTAGTGAAATGCCTACGTTAATTAAGTTACCAATTGATGTCTTGTTAACAGTAATGCACAAATGAAACACAGATAGGAGGGAATGTCGGCCGTATGCTAGGACAAAATCTTTCCTTACCCGTTACAAACCAATACGGAAGGATTGGGAGGTCCCACCTCTCATCTATTTGGATTTGAAAAAGAATTTTGCTCATGTTGCCGCCTCCTCCTGAACAAAAGACGATTATTCGTGTTAAGGGTAAACGGATGACTCCGACGATGTATAATTCATTCCATGGAACAATAGCATAAAACTCGTTTATGTTTACAAACCTAGACAGCTACGGTCAATCATCTGACTTGCATTGTTTATTAATAAACCATGCTTTTCAGTATGACCACCAACGCGGAACAAATATTCAATCGATTGATTACATCGTGAACTGAAAAACGATATTCACCATTTGTCACTTGAATTAATCTAGGTACTCTGTTTTTGACCCTGATACCCCAGATGACGTTGACAAAAAACAACAAACAACACTTGAATGAAGATAATGGAAATTCAGGTGAAAAACATTTTTATCTCAAACGTATGGATGCATGTCTCATCTCGCGAAACAGGAGTGACATTTATGGTTAGTCACTGATCACGGGGTGCTGATTGCCGTAAATAGCAAAGTACGCCTCTCTTAGCACGGCATATGTATGTATATATGTATGTATGTATGTAACGTTTGTTTATCAGGTGATAAACCAGTACCGATTTCCGAAATGTATCACACGAGCACTTTGGCGACTCAGAACAGATTTTTATAATGAGGGTTATCAACTGCAGCTGTCGCTGTTTCGGAGTAACCGGACGAGTCCATAACATAGAGACTGAAACGTCGGTAGCGGCTCATCTTCCGAATGAACTATTATAAGAGTGAACCACGCACTTATCAAGACCACAACAATCTAATGATGCTCCATTCTGCATGGACATTTTTGGCTACAGTCGATTTGTCGCTGGGTTACGAAGACCTTGGCGCCACATGACGACAAGTGGATTATGCTTTG